CTTTTTGTGGAGGTGTTTTGCGTATGCCTGGGGAGGCTTGTGCGACTTAGAAACAGCTGTAATAGAGTGCCATCTTGACGCAAAATTACAAACATTAATGTCAGTTCTTCTATCAACCTCATGTCTTGAACTATCGTGCATGCATAGGTCTTACGTCGTCTCTACAAGTTTGTGGTGGGTTCCAGTTTGTAGACAAATGTAACCTCGCCCATAAACTTTGGAACGGTTGAGCAAAATCTGACGAGCCTTTCTATCATTGAGACGTTTAGGCACCGCAGTGGACTATCGACCGAACTGCAGCTAAATCCAACACCTACTTCGACATCCCCTGCAACTCCAAAGCCTTTTCCATACTGTTCTTCAACGTCTCGACATCTACCCATCACCCTCAAGCGACCCCGCCACTTTCCCAGACACCATCGCGAATTCCCGAGGGGGACGTTTATCACTTCTCGTCGAGGGCACGTTGGTGGGCTAAGGAGCAGCAGCAGTTGAGGTTGGTGCAGACCGTGCAGCCTGCGTGGACGAGGCATCTATTGCGGTGCCCATTGCTCCTGCTGTGAGACGATGGTGATGGTTGATATTGGTATCGAGGTTGTGCGTGAGGGTGGGGTTGGGGTCGTTTTGGGGAGGAGGGCTGGTGAGGTTATTCATATTTGATTCGCATGTCATTAATATTCATCCTTCCATGGTTTACACTGCGGAGGTACGTACTGTCATTGGTTATTTTTGTTTCTGGTGGTGTTCCACCTCCTCCCGCCCACTCCCCGCACCAAAGGCACGCTTTCACTCCCCCCAAAAGTAGTCTCTTTTGCGTCGTGTAGTGCTCAGCATCAAAGGGAATGTCTGTTTTATGTTTGCACCTTTGTCTTTGCCTTTTCGAACATGTCTGAGTTATAAAACATATCTACAGGTTCTACCTCCCGCCACTGAGATTCTGCAAGAATGCATTCTCGCTCCGTGATGCTTCATAACTCCTTGAGATGCGCCAACCTCAATTTCATCATCTTTGGGCGACAGACAGCTTGTCTGTGATCACGCTTGAGCGAGGTGCAGTCATAATATAGAGGTGGTGAGATATGCGTTTTCTACTGAAAATGTTGGTTCACTGGTCTATGAAAGAGTTGATATGAGACTTACCTCCCAGTCGCCCCACATCTCTCACATCCAACATAACAACTCTAACATCATGCCCCCAGCACCTGCACTATCCGAAGGCCTTCTATAACTGATGTCCCAGTGATACCTAGGCCAACAATGACAAAGTCATCATATGTCACAGCTGGGAAACATGAGCGGTGATGGGGGAGGGTCAATAGGGTCAGAATGAGCACCTGGTGTTTGGGAGTGGAAGCCCTGGACAACACTGGATGCGTGCTTGGGGAGTTTGCAAGGTGTGAAGGTTGTCGAGGAATTCTGTTAATGCTAGGCAGGTGAGGGAGAGTGTGCTGCCTATCATGGGAAGGAAGGAACCGACATGGTTGTGGCGTGTTTGCAGTTTGTCACGTTCAATGAATTCCTCGCAACTTCAGTGCCATTCGCCGTCCATAGTTCGATAAGTTTGTGGACTTTACTGGTCCCATATGTTATGGACTCGTCGTATACACCAAGTCCGTGGCCTGCATGTGTTCATCATTGTCAATATCATCACCAACTAAGCAAACTGACTCACCTACCTGCGCATCGGCAGCGTCTGCCATTGTAGGACTTGTTATAGTAGGTTAACAATATCACACTCATGATAGAATGTGCCTGCCTTGAGCGAGTATCGGTGCCTGGTAAGCATTACTTTTGACAGGCATTGGGAGAAAAAAGACAAGTATCACAGACTTCATAGCAGATGTCGTAGATTTTGTGAGAAGGTGGAGGAGGTGCTGGATAAACGTATACCTAAGGAATCCATTCAAATGAAGAATGATGTTGAATGTGTATTGATCCCGTCCTCGAAATGCGTTAATAGCAGTGCAATGGAATCTGATCTAGAGCGCCTGGGGAACGATGTTACTAGACTTTTGCACCCTGTCATTGACAATGTGGATGGCAGAGTCGTCTGTCTTGGAGGTGGCGGGTGAAAATCAATTTGAAGGGAGCTTGCGCCAGCCTTCTTGGTGGAAAAGTGGAGATGATGGAGGCTTGGATATTGGGGTGTGGTGGCTGCATAGAAAGTATTCACGACGTTGATGATGCGTATATCGTTTGAGGAGAAGAGTGTGAAGGATACTACTAATGAGGTTCTATAGTACAGCCGACCAATGGTGGAACCTAGCTGTTGGTATAGGTGCATCCAGTGCGAGGACTCCGAGGAGGAGAAGAGTGTGCACTATGTGACATATAAACGTTCACTTGCATGATGGGCATGGCCTGCTGTGCATATGGTACCAATCAGAACCTTATGGCACTGGATGATATTGGATGATTAGATTTTTTCTTCATTCCACTCTGCCGAATATGATCCAGCAGTGCAACAAATTTTTGCCTCATGGCTTGAACACTTATGGCCTATATAAATGATACAGGGCTCTTCTCATCATATTACTTCACTTCACAATTGCCCCAAGGCAAAGGCAAGGCAATTCACCAAGGAATTCGATTCAAGTCACCAAAGCAACAGCCGGGTTTGATGATGAAAGCTCAGTACATGCCTTATGAGGATCACTTCATTCAATCCATCCACTCCAAACACTGACATTAATGAGTCATCCTTCGTCTAGCACCAACCCCGTGGCAGAGTCAAACGGTTTGCTGGAGAAGGTCAAGGGTGGTGTTAAGTACGGTGTGGACAAGTTAAGGATCCCAGTAAGTCCACGAGCATGCATAATGAGTGTCCTGGAGTTCCAACTAAGATTGGCATAAGCGCTTGGAGGATTCCCGCAGCCGCAGCCCTGTTCCCCAAAATGATGAAGGTGCTTCATCGACTTCGGTAGGTTCTCATACTTGCCCTCCAGTTTCTGCGCTCTCTCTAAATTCTACTTGTGACACAGGTTCAGGCTGCTCCGTCTGGTATGGAAGTGGAGGCTGATACCCAATCGGCACTTCAGGATATTCAAGAGGCTGTAAAGCTCATGCATTCACTTCCAGGACCTGCGACAACCGTGGCTTCTCATCTTTCAAGACGCACAAGAGGATCTCGATGCTGTTGACAAATTTCAGGATACATATCTCAAACCCCTCAAGATATTCGACACTGTTATCGACAGGTCGCAGATGTATGGGCCATCTTCTCGATCAGAACCGAATTAATCCAGTCCACAGGTTCATCCATATGCAAAGATGGCACTGGGCGTGTTATCTTGTGCAGCCAAAGTATGTCTTCATTTTCTCTCTCCCTATCTCCCACTGTTACTCAACAATTATTTGTACAGATTATTCTAGTGCAAGTGGATCGCGACAAAGCAGTACTCAAACTTCTCGAAAAGTTAGATGAAGTTTACAGCTTCATAACACAAGACGAGATGCTTGGCAAAATCTCGTCGATGCGCGCTATCCTTGGAAAGATCTCTCAGCAGACCCGTGAATGCGCCCATTTTATCAAAAACTATTCAGAGACCAAGAACTTTTGTGAGTATTACCAGATGTTGTGCTCTGTGCTGTCTCAAGCTTCTACCATCATCACAGGGAACAGACTCGGAAAGAACATCATCTCGGAAATGACAGATACGATCCAAAAGTGTAGCGACGTGTTCGATAAGCTCATGCAAAACTTCCGGGACCAGCTTACTCTCGATGTAGCCATACATGTCCACGACATAGCCATACACGTCCACCATACAGGTAAGAGTTCGGACGTCCTTCGCACGGAAATCCTTTCCCAGATCACAGAATGGGTCAACAGCACTGGGGACAACGTCCCACGCATGCTGTGGCTATCTGGCCCTGCAGGCAAGGGCAAATCGGCCATCGCCCACACGATTGCGAATTGGTTCAACGAAACAGGAGGCCTCGGTTCATGTTTTTGTTTCGATCGGCACAGAGAAGCAGACCGTCGCCATGAAAAGATTTTCTCCACCATCGCTCGCGATCTTGCTGATTGTGATCCGGGGATGAAACGAGCATTAGCGGATGCAGTCAAGGATGCAAACTCGCTCAAGAATACAACAGATATTATCCAGCAGTGGCGCAAGCTTCTCATGCAACCACTCAAGAAGTTCTCCCCGTCGAGTGTAGAGCCTGTCTTGATCATGATCAGAGCACTAGATGAGAGTGGTGGAGTGGAGACACGGCGTAACATTCTCCACATACTTGCCAGTAGACTTCAGGACGAAGGACTTCCCCAAATCACCGAACTCCCTTCCAACTTTCGGATTCTCGTCACCTCTCGCCCACTTCCCGATATCGAAAGGGGTTTTGAAGGCTCTGATCATATTCTACGGTTGTCCATGGACAGTATTCCACCAAATGTCGCAGAGCGCGACATTCACACCTTCATATCTGAGGAGTTGAAAGAGCTATCAGAATTTCAGGACAACCATCTTGTGACACTCACTGCAAAAGCCGATGGACTCTTTGAGTGGGCGCGTCTTGTGTGCGGTGAGGCGATCTCAACCTGGCTGGGCTGATATGAAATATCTAAAAATGCTCAACCAGTATAAGTGAGTCTTGGCTCTGCCTAGCTGCTATACTCGCAGAATGCAAGAAAATTCGACCCTAAAGGGGACTACTACTGAACACAGAACCAGATGAAAGAAAGACCCTTGAAGTGCGATGGATGCGCGAAAGCGCAAGAAGAAAAGCGAAGTGAGCGCGAAGCGCGAGAGAGCGCACTAAGGTAAGCGCGAGCGTGGGAACGTGAGCGCTAAGGCGCGCGTTGTGCGGAGAATACCGGATAAGGAAACGGACAAGGAAGCGGATGTGCAAAGCGAGTGCAAACGCAGAGCGAGTGTTATAACGAGCGCGGATAAAGGTCTAGTATAGGCGGATAACAATAACCATTGGAAACACAAAGTGCGCCCAAGTGGTGACTACTACTTTAAAGTAAAACCCAATAGCGAGGGAAGTACAGCAAAGGGGAGTAATAATGATGGTGTAGTAAGTCAGCAACTTTATACTATGGAAATCGCATCGGAAGCGGAAGGGATAGGAGCAATAAGCGCTATGAATACGTAATGACATGTAATAACGCTGCAATGCTTGTTACAAACCACGAGGCAAGGCATATGACGTACCAATGAGGTGGGTGGACATAGAGGGACGTTCCTGGATGATAGGCAATGCAGGGCAATGCAGGGCGCTTAAGCGCAATAAAGCGCGCAAGGTGCGCGTGTGGGAATGCTGCGCGTTGTGTGGGAATGCTGCGCGTTGTGTGGGAAAGTACCGCGCCTATGGCGCGTTTCGCGGGAAAGCTGCGCATTATGTGTAAAACGACTAGGGACATGATAGAAGTCGAATATAGCTGATGGTGCGAGTCGTGCATTGAAGGCCAATTGTCATGAGTTGTGAAAAGATGCGAAATGTGCCCATATGTGCCTGCAGAAACGCGAGTCTCTACAGCGGGTATATTAAAGAACCCTATTTCGGCTTATCCCCGATGAACTGCTTCGATGAAGTTGTGAACCGCCATCCCGGGGAGCAGAAAAACTTGTTGTATGATATTTATCGACTCATGTTAACAGAAATCATGCCTAAGGATAAGGATGCCCGTCACGATGCCCATTACAAGCAAGCTGTAGCAAAGTTTCATTCGGTGATGGGACAAATGCTTGCCACAAACAAACCCCTCCCTTTAGTTTCACTGAATGCTATGCGGGACCATTTCCCGGAGGACCACGGCTATTACAACATAGATGCAATGATCAGGCGCATGGGATCCCTCCTCAGCGGTACCACCAATTCATACACCCCCATCCGACCCCTTCATGCATCCTTCCACGATTTCTTAACAGACAAGCCATCCAGTGGAGAGTTTTTCATCAACCTGTCAAAGGCACAACGCGACCTTGCATTCGCGTCACTTCGAGTGATGCAACACGACCTTCGCTTCAATATCTGTGATTTAAAGTCTTTGTATCTGCCTAATAGCAAAGATCCCGGGCTACAAGAATGAATCCAAAAATGTATCTCCCCACATCGGTCATATGTGGTCTCGATTTTGGACATCGCACGTATGAACCACAGTCTTCGACAAGGAGCTCGCAAAAGAAGTGAAATTGTTGTTCGAGCACAAGCGGCTATTTTTTCTGGCTCGAGTTACTCGCCTTGATCAATGCGCTCAGCGGTGCAGTTCCTGCCCTTCCGCTCATTCCCCAGTGGCTGAAGGTGAGTACATTGTTACTGTGTGCCAGATAAAGCACTCATGCGCAACTGCAGGGCCAACCCGAATTCAAAGATGTCTCATCAACTGCAATGGGACGTACAGAGATTTATTCAAGTCTTCAGCAGCATGATTTTACACAGCACACCACATCTATATGTATCAGCACTCCCATTCACGGCCTACCAACTCCCGCTATCCAAAAAGCTTCTGCACAGTTTCCGAATATTCTTTGTGTGGCATCTGGACGTGATGTGAACTGGCAAGCTGTTCAGACTGTGCTCAGGGGGCATACTGGGTCGGTTTTCTCGGTCTCATTCTCACCGGATGGCACTCGCATTGTCACTGGTTCTTGGGATGACACTGTTCGGCTGTGGGATGCTGCGACGGGGCAGCCAGTCGGTGAGCCATTGCGAGGGCACAAACATTCAGTTTACTCGGTCTCGTTCTCGCTGACGGCACTCGCATCGTCACTGGTTCGCGGGATAAGACTATTCAGCTGTGGGATGCTGCAATGGGGCAGCCAGTCAGTGAGCCCTTGCGGGGGCACACTAGTCATGTTAAATCTGTCTCGTTCTCGCCGACGGCACTCGCATCGTCACTGGTTCTTATGATGACACTGTTTGGCTATGGGATACTGCGACAAGGCAGCCAGTCGGTAAGCCCTTGCGGGGGCACACTGATTGGGTTAACTTGGTCTCGTTCTTGTCAGACGGCACTCGCATCATCACTGGTTTGAAGGATAAGACTATTCAACTGTGGGATGCTGTGACGGGCAACCAGTCGGTGAGCCCTTGCGGGGGCACACTTCAGAAGTTCAATCAGTCTTGTTTTCGCCAGACGGCACTCGCATCATCACTGGTTCGAAGGATAAGACTGTTTGGCTGTGGGATGCTGCGACGGGGCAGCCAGTCGGTGAGCCCTTGTGGGGGGCACACTGATTCAGTTTCGTCGGTCTCTTTCTTGCCTGACGGCACTCGCATCGTCACTGGTTCTTGGGATAAGACTATTCGCCTATGGGATGCTGTGATGGGCAGCCAGTCAGTGAGCCCTTGCGGGGGCACACTAGTTGGGTTAACTCGGTCTTGTTCTCGCCAGACGGCACTCGCATCGTCTCTGGTTCTTTGGATAAGACTATTCGGCTGTGGGATACAGTGACAAGGCAGTCGTCGCAACCATCCCCAGTGTCACACCCTTCAGCATTTTCAAACGAACTGTGCGCAATCGAGGCCACCACTACCATGAAATCGAACACTTGGGACAACCACTTTCATTTCCTTCTCCTTCAACTCTATCCACGCACTGTGCAACACTTCTGAATTAATGGAGGAAGCATCTTGTGACGACTGTAGTTCGACCCCCTTTGCCCTGAATGATGATAGTGGTTGGGTGGCAGGGCCCAAACATCAGCTCTTATTCTGGGTACCACACGCTTCTCGACACTCATTCTATAACCCGGAGACAGTATTGGTGATACCCAGAGGAGGTCCTGAGCTTGATTTGAGTCACATGGCACATGGACAGCACTGGCAAAAGTGCCGAGAGGAGTGAGTCTCCTCGAAGCCCTTTCCATTCCTCGTACTTACTAAAAATCAACACTTGCAGACCTTAGTACTGCGATGTTGTGTGCTAGCGATCGAACCTTTGTGGAGATTTTTTCAGATATAACTTGAATGTGACATGTACAGTTGCTTATTTTAATCCCTTGTTGCCTACTTTGTGCGCCCTTCAATCCCCTACTTTGCTTCGATCCTCACTTGACATCTGCTCCCGGTTT